CCCCTGTGTCAGGGTGCTGTCCTCTGCCTCACTAGAGCTGGGTTTCAGTGTAAGTGTGAAAATACACCTGGATTCACCACTCTGTGTCTGATGGAGAGAGATGCTGACATTCTTAGTGTTGTTGGTGATCAAAGACCCTCACATGAGAAAGACCACAATATACAACACCTCATTGCTTATTCATGTTTTTCAAAATATATTCCAATGTCAAATCCATAAGTCTATTTTATGTATCTAAGTGAATATATTATACTCATAAAAATAGACTTAATCAATCAAATACAAACTGTGTGCTAGTGAGGGGTGTCATGTATGTTAAAAGTGCTCCCAGCAACTATCAGGGAGAAGCATAGTGATTCCCCAGAGCAAGTCCCGAGAGACAGAAACTACACCACTGTGGAAATTCTTCTTAATTAAAATGCAATATCATTTTTGTTTGCTAAAAAACAAAAATAAGTGTAGAATTATGATTATAGTGAGTTAATTGCCAGGCTACAAAGGACTTAAAAACAAAGGCAAATCATTGCATTTATATTTTGTGTAAAGAAAGATAATGAATTGAAAGGAGTAAGCCACATACAGAAATGCCATCACACAGAATACACAGAAGCATTTCCTCTTCACCATCTGTTTATCCTCTACCAACATGTGATAATGAAGCACCCATTTTTCTATGATTATGATGCTCAAATAGAATATTAAAAGTGATTAAAACTTGGATTTATTATTAATAAAAACATAAGAGGCTTATGGTGATACAGAACATAAAACTTTAACTTAGCAAATTATAGATGTTTTACATAAAATCAGTGCTCTAGCTCTCAAACCATAATTTGAAAATACATAAAGTGATTCTATTTCATGGCATGTTCCAGGAGAGGCTTAGGACGATCAGGGATGTAAACATTGATGATGCTCATCCTCACCCAGACTGGAGCTTGGCTCTAGGACAGGGTGGGCACTGACGTGAGCAGGAACAGGGTCCAGGGTGTCCCTGTCTGTGACCCTGCTGTCCAGCGACAGTGGCTGGAAACCACTTCCCTGGGGGCTGACGGATCCAGCTCCAGCAGTAACCAGGCTCCAGGTTGCTTCCCCCCAGCAGCCAGGTGTCCTGGGGATTCTCAGGCTCAGGGTCAGCTCCCAACCTTGTTGGGGTCAGAGTGGTCCTGGTCACAGCATGTCTCAGGGTCCTGAGGCCAGTGGCAGAGCCAACCTGCAGCTGCCACAGTCCGTGCAGAGCTGACCACCCTCCCATCTGAGTCTGTGCCAAGGGAGCCCCTTTCCCTCCAAGACCTTCCTCAGGTCACCCCTGTCCACAGGCCACACAGCTGCATGAGGAGGGGGCACCTCTGCCCTTTGGGGCCATGGGTTGGAGTTTTGGTGTCACAGAGTCTCATCATGGGGTTAGAGCTCACATACACCAAAGTTCACTCTGAATACACAAGTTCTGTGCATTTAGACCAGGTTTAGGGCTTCCTGTCGGCATCCCTCAGCTCAGTCCTGCTTATGTTTGGGGACAGAGGAAACCTTGTTGTGCCTGCTGACGGTGGCTTTAGACTATCAGCTGCATCCATGGTCTCTATCACCTACATGGTGGCACAACCGTCTGTTCATTAACCTGTGACAAGACAGACTGTGCCTTGTCATTGTCAAAGGTCCCCTGTGGCTGGAAGGCTCAGGAACAATGTGGGCTATGACCTCTACATGTGCCAACTGCACAGATCAGTCACAGGAATGTCACAGGGAACACTGGATTGGGAGGGACACTGGGCAGCAGAACATCCAGGCCCTTCTGAGAGTGGAGGGAGTTCCCCAAGCCATGAAGTGTCCACACAGCTCACGTGATGGCCCTGAGCAGTGCCATCATAGCACAGAAAGCCTCAGCTAGAGAGGAGACTGTGCAGCCGCTGCTGAAGAGGAGCACTCCTGACACACCTCACCTGGAGAGAAATGAGGGGTGTCCAAGGGGAGGAGGCTTCTCTAGGACCCCCATAGCTGGGGCTCTCAGGAGGAGCTGCTTGGTGAGGAAGCTCAGGACTGGGGTCAAGTTCACTCCTTCCTCTGCACCTGCTCCTGGGCTGACCTGACTCCTGTGTGCTGGGCGCCCCCTGCTGGCCCTGGGCACCCTGCAGGAGGTTTGTGTCTGGGCTCACACTGAGGTCCCCTCACTGTGGCTCTGGCACAGTAATAGGTGGCCGTGTCCTCAGTGGTCAGGGAGCTCAGCTGCAGGGAGAACTGGTTCTTGGACGTGTCTCTGGAGATGGACACTCGGCTCTTGAGGGATGGGCTGTAGTAAGTGTTACCATTATAACATATGTACCCTATCCATTCCAGCCCCTGTCCTGGGGGCTGACGGATCCACTCCCAGCAATAGTAACTGGTTGTGATGGAGAATCCAGAGACAGCACAGGTGAGGGACAGGGTCTGCGAGGGCTTCACCAGGCCAGGTCCTGACTCCTGCAGCTGCACCTGGCACAGGACACCTGAGGACAAGGACAGTCACACCCTGTTAGTCACCTGCAGTCACAACCTCCCCATGGACCCAGGTCTGACACTGG